GTATGCAGACGGAGAGTGATTTCAGCTAAGCATACCTTTATTTAGTTCAGGACAAAGACAACTGACCAGCTCGCAGGCCGGTTTATATGCGTTCAGAAAACCCGCCACCAAGTACACCTAAACACACCCCCTACTCCCGATAGGCTATTTACAGTAACCGGGCGACCATTGGTCCCCCGGCTGGGAAGCTAGCCCTTTTGATTGGGCCGGCTAGGATCCTTCGGATCCTTTGTCTTTTGACTGAAGCTACAGATGAATTGTGCCTGGCATGCCCGGGCAAGTCCGGGCATGTCAGGCTGAATACATTACACCTGCCTTGTGCAGGGGGCTGGACTAGATGACCCTGGAGGTCCCTTCCAACTCTATGATTCTATAATTCTGTGCATCGGCTCTCCACCTGTCATAAAGATGAGCACTGGGCAACCTACTCATCAGAACCGACATTTATAGTAAAAATGCACTTCGAATGACATCACCCCATAGCCACGGGGTCATGAGGTTCCCCATCGTAATCCGAAGCAGCCCTTCGTGTTCGAACCAGCCACATGCTGATTGCTCAGTGTGCTTCCCCGTCGGCCCACCCACGCTCGTAAAGGCCGGCGTACATCCTGTGGATCTTGGCCGGTGGCCATTCCACCCTCCCGCTGACTCCGACGGCAACTGTGGATCCACGAGCTGACGCTTTGCACAGAGGTTCATCCTGGCCAAAGTACACAATTGTAAAACATTTTTTATAGTGCACAAAAATATACAATCATCCTGGTACTACCTGTTGTTTTTTTAAAAAAGATATTTTGGGTTTCTCACACGGCCTGTGCTGATGCCCGCCTGCTCAGAAGCAAACCACACTGAGCTCAATGGAATTCCAAGCAAGAATTTTTAGCATTGCTGCTTTAAAACTAAAGGGAGTATAAACCTTTGAACGGACCGTATTTTAAACCCGCTTGGGTCATTTTCTTGAGGAATGGTTGGGGTTTTCCCCCCCTAAACTTGGCTTTGTAAATATCCCAGTGCTATTTGTATCCCTGTACTCTGGGAGCTGTGCCATTAGCGGGGGTAAGGGTCGGAGGACTTAATTCTGTTTTGAAACCCAGGCAATTGTACTTTCACTGTTTAAAAATACAAGAAACTGCTCTATGTGACGTCCCCCCTCCACATGCACACTTTTTCAGAGACCGAAACATCCAGCTACGCCTCACGGACAAAAATCTTTTCTAACTGGCAACATCTTATTGCCCAAAGGTTCACATTGCTTTGCGACAAAACAGGATACCACTATTTATCTATTTATTTAAAATACTTATTAGCCGCCTTTCTTCCTTATGGAGCTCAAGGCAGCTTGCAATACAGATAAGACAAGTGGGGACCCGCGATACTCACGCGAGGTGGGGGAATCCCAACACCCATCGCTGCTGATTCCTCACATCCTAACAGCTGGGGGGGGGACTCATGGGGGGAATTTAGCTATCCACAGATGGGGGCCACGAGTGGTTAATAGATACATACAGACCGATTTCACACAAGAGCTGTGCCGCGGTCCCGCCTCCCTTTGCCCCGCTTCTATTGGTCAATTTCCCACTCGAAGCTGCGCAGCCACATTTTGACCCGCGGCTTCGCCTGATTTCCCCCGCGGTTTCGTGATCCTCTTTTCCTGCTGCCTTCAGCTTTTCCTAGTGATTCTCGTCTTCCCATAACGTGACCAAAGTATGACAGCCCCCGTTTGGCCATTTTAGCTTCTAGGGAATGCTGAGGCTTGATTTGATCTAGAACTCACCGATTTGTCTTTTTGGGTGGACCACAGTATCCGTAAAACTCTCCTCCACTTGCACCTGGCTGGATGACCTTGGGCAAGCCGTAGCTCTGATAAGAGCTGTTCTTGAAAAAAAGAGTTGTTTCTGTCAGAGTATAAACCCAGATCACCGCAGACTGTGACTGCAGCCGTGAAATTAAAAGACGCCTGCTCCTTGGGAGGAAAGCTATGGCGAACCTAAACAGCATGATAAAAAGTAGAGACATCACCCTGCCAACAAAAGTCCGCATGGTCAAAGCAATGGTATTCCCAGTAGTCATGTATGGCTGCGAGAGTTGGACTATCAGGAAGGCCGAGCGCCGAAGAATAGATTCTTTTGAACTATGGTGCTGGAGAAGACTCTTGAGAGTCCCTTGGACTGCAAGGAGATCAAATCAGTCAATCCTAAAAGAAATCAACCCTGACTGTTCCCTGGAAGGCCAGATAGTGAAGCTGAATCTCAAATACTTTGGCCACCCAATGAGAAGGGAGCACTCACTGGAGAAGACCCTGATGCTGGGAAAGATTGAAGGTCAAAGAAGACGGGGACGGCAAAGGATGAGATGGTTAGACAGTGTCATCGATGCAACGAACATGAAATTGAGCTAACTTCAGAGGACGGCGGAAGACAGGAGGGCCTGGCAGGAGCTGGTCCATGGGGTCGCGAAGAGTCGGACTCAACTGTGCGACTGAACAACAACATAAATCCAATCTCTTCTCTTCTTCTAAAGAGAACCATCTTCAGCTGCCTCCAGTTTGGTGTTTAGGAACGTGGACTCTGGGAGAACCGGGTTTGATTCCCCACTCCTCCACTTGCAGCTGCTCCTGTGACCTTGGGTCAGTCACAAGTTCTCTCACGAGCAGTTTCTGTTGGAGCTCTCTCAGCCCCACCTCCCTCACAGGGTGTCTGTTGTGGGGAGGGGGAGGGGAAGGAGTTTGTAAACCGCTCTGAGACTCCTTCGGGTAGTGAAGGGCGGGGTATAAATCCAATCTCTTCTTCTTAAAGATGGAAAGTGAGGGGGCCAGGTGTACCTCCCAGGGGAGGCTGTTCCATAGTCATGGTGCTGCCACTGAAAAGGCCCTGTCTCATGTACCCACCAAACAGGTTTCAAACAGAGCCAGTTTCGTGTAGTGGTTAAGTTCACGGACTCTAATCTGGGAGAACTGGGTTTGATTCCCCACTCCTACACTTGCACCTGGCTGGATGATCTTGGGCAAGCTGTAGTTCTGATAAGAGCTGTCCTTGAAAGGGCAGTTAGAGAGCTCTCTCAGCCCTGCCGACCTCACAGGGTGTCTGTTGTGGGGAGGGGAAGGGAAAGGAGTTTGTAAGCCGCTCTGAGATACCTTTGGGTGGTGAAGGGTGGGGTATAAATCCAATCTCTTCTCTTCTTTGATTGGCTGTCTGCCCAAGACTGGAGTGGGGGGGGAAAGGAGGGGAGAGGAGAGAAGCAACAATTGCCTGACTTCCATTGTTTGGGGGAAGTTGTAGGCCGGTGTAGCATCCTGGTTAGTGCTGGACTAAGCTCTAGGTAACCAGGGTTCGAATCCATACCTAGCCACGAAGATTACCAGTTGACCTGAGACTATTCACTTTCTTTCTTGATCGAGCCAACACAGCAGGGTTGTTGTGATGGTGAGATGAGTGACCCGTGTATTCGGCTCTGAGCTCCCTGGATGGAAAAGAAATGTCTTATGGTGGATGGCACGGATTTCAGATTTGCGAGTTCTCTCTCTGTAGCCAGAAAGAATTTACTGTTCGTTTGTGCATGCGGATGTCTTAGCTAGTTTAAAGTTAGGGACCCAGTGGGCGAAGCCTGCACGTGGTTGCCACCAAAGCAAGGTGACAAAAGGCATAATTACTTAGCATTGGGATTCTCCAGGTGGGTAATCAATACTTTGGGGGTGAACTAGAGCGTAAGCATTGGGTTTCGGGTTTATTGCGATTTCTTAGAAATCTCTAAGAAAAGATGTAGGTTAGAGAGTAGCTAAAGGGGATGATTTCCCCCCTGTATGGTTTTCTTACTTTCAACTCCCAGTTTACTCTCCCTTAAGTTTCTTTGCTTAAAAGCAAGTTTGGTGTAGTGGTTAAGAGCGATGTTCCCTCTAAGCTGAGTTAGTGTGAGCTAGCTCACAGTTTCTTAGCCTCCGGCTCACATCTTTTTGTCTTCACTCAGGAAGGAGGGCTCCAGAGCGAACTAATTTATGCAGTAGCCAAATCACTCGCTCACCTTAATGCCAGGAGCTCACAAAGCAGCATTTTTGCTCACAAGACTCCACAACTTAGAGGGAGCATTGGTTATGAGCGCAGAATCTAATCTGGGAGAACCAGGTTTGAGTCCCCACTCCTCCACATGCAGCTGCTGGTGAGACCTTGGGTCATTCATAAGTTATCTCAGAGCTGTTCTCAAGGGCAGTTCTCAAGAGATCTCTCTCAGCCCCACCTACGCCCTCCTCCTCCAAGTGTTCTGCCGCATTTATTAACTCTGCATTTACACAGAAATCCTGAACAGTATTCAGCTCTGAGCTCCCTGGATGGATAAAAATGTCTTATGGCAGATGGCCTGGATTCCTGTTTGCAAACTGGCGATCCTATTTATGGATGAAGCAACAAGAACAGAAATACAAATCCACGCAGCTTTTTATTTAATCTTTAATTTTATACTTTCTCAATGACAGAACTTTGTGGAAAACCACCAAGTCTTTGTACATGGGTTACTTTCATACAGACAGTGGTCAGTTTCTCTACAGCGCATCTAGCAAATCAAAGGTCCCGACACACAGGGTCCATGTTACTGCAAAGACGGTTTTGCATTTGACCACATGGCCACAGGGCTCGCCCAAAAGCACATCAAATTTGTGCCCAGAGATGTCTTAGACCAAATTCTGTGCTAAGTAAAGCTGCATTTTGCAACTGGTACAAGCTGCAAATGATAAATTAGTCACATGTGGAACGCTTGCAAAATAGTTTCCTCTTCTGCTAGTTACAGGGAACGGCAAAGAAACGTGAAGGGAACACGGGAAGAAAAATACACAGAATGTTGAACAGGAAAAAAAAAACACATCTTCCGCTCAGCAGCACCTCTTAAATAGAATCTAAGACAAATTAACAAACGGTTCCCGTCCCATTTAAAACAACACGCGACTTCGTATAAAAATAGTATATTCTATTTTTCAGAAAGGACAACCAAAGCGCTCACTTGTTTTCAATTTGTCAAGCTTTGTCTGAGATTGAATCTAGGACCTTTTGCGTGCCAAATAGAGGCTCTTCCACCGAACCATAGCCCTTCCCCATATATACGTTATATTGAAAAGATACAAACTGTTTCAAGGCCCATTCAGGCCAGCAATCTATGCATAGCAGCCACTGAAAACCCAGGTATGAAGATGGTAGCTCGCTGCTGTTTGTCCCCCGCCCTTGGTACTGACAGATATCCTGCTTCTGAACATGGAGGTCCCATTTAGCTGTCACATCTAATTAGGGGTCATTTCGTAGACAAAGTGGCTCAGGAGCTAATTAGCATAACATTTGCATATGCCACACCCCCTGACATCACCGGAAGTGTGTCAGAAAGCAACACCCACCACTTAGGCGTCACTGGACTGCTTTGGATTGCTAGCTATTGGGGGGGGGGAACGTGCAGATCTGTCCTTGCAGAGGAGGGAGAGCTTGTACCTGAATAAAACCTGGTCTTAAAGGTGCCACTGGACTGTTTTGGACCGGGGGGCCGGGGGGAGGGCTCTGCAACTTACCTGGCTGCTTCTTGCTCTGACTGAGGGCTGCTGGGAGCAGGGGGTGGGGCTTGTTGCATGTGCCCGCCCCCTGAGCTCTTTACTGCCGGAGCTCCGCTCCTGCAGGAAATGACCCCTGCATCTAATAGCCCTGAAGCTCTATCTCTTCCCCGTTTTTGCATGTCCAAAACTGGAGAACACGGACTTATACATTAGATGTCACCGGGTTATTTTGCCCGTCCATGCCATCTGTTTTTAGCAGAAGTCATCAAGAGGGCATTTATGGAGAGCAGCTCCCAGTCACTGGGCCACATAAAAAGGTATGAATCTACCGGCCACTTTGTGCCTTATCTGTGGTCGATGGAATTTCCCAGCCCTCCACTGCAGCTGCACGTCCTCTATGGCACTGCAAAGGATCCTGGGACCCAGCCCTGGAGCACAAGCTCAGTTTGCTAGCCCCGCCCCCTGTGGAGGCAGGGATCCCCCTCCACCGCCTATCAGCTGACCGGTGGGCGGAATTACCCGGTGATAGAAGGAAGCCCAGGCGACGACACCGGCCATGTGGCGAAGTCACTTCTGGCAAGCCCCGGAAGTGACATCATCACGACAGCGACGCTCTGGTATCTGGGCAAAAACTCTATGGCAGAAGCCATTTTTACCATAGAGGGTTTTTTGCCCAAATACAAGAACGAAGCAAAGATGTCACAGCATGATGATGTCACTTCCGGTGCATGCCAGAAGGGATGTAACCAGGGCTATTTTTGGGCAGGAACGCACAGGAACGGAGTTCTGGCTGACTCCCGAGTTGGCCACGCCCAGCAGGAACTCATTAGCATGATAGGCCACACCCAACAGCAGAAACTCATTAGGATTGGCTACATTAGGGGTGTGTGGCCTAACATGCAAAGGAGTTCCTGCTACAAAAACAGGCCCTGGGTTTTGACAACAAACAAAGTCAACAGAATAAGAAGCAAAAGGTGGGTGTGGCTGGATGAGCACACTTCTGGCAACGTGGGGTGTGTGGCCTAATATGCTAATGAGCTGCTCTGTCAGGGGTGTGGCCTAATATGCTAATGCATCTCTGCTGTTGGGTGTGGCCTATTCTGCTAATGAGTTCCTGCTGGGCTTTTTCTACAAAAATAAGCCCTGGATGTAACCATGCTCCCGGCGACATTGCCTGGGCCTCCCGCCCATTCCTGGCCGGGATGCTTGTGCCGTTCCCCTTTTCTGCCCATCCCCAGGTGTCCCTGCGGAGAGATTGACGGAGAACGGAGAGGGGTTTGTTTCAGTGCCAAACAACAAGGTTAGTTTGTTGAAGGTGCCAGAAACAACTGTGGATCTGGTCCGACAGTCAACCCACCGAATCGAGTCCTACAGATGCAGGTTAAACAACAATGGGGGTGGGGGAAAGACGCCCCAATGTCTCCAGCACCAAACCAGACCAAAATCTCTAGTGACGTCCTCGAACCGACACAAGTCCAGTGTGCGTCTTTAGCTTTGTGCCCGTCCCACGGCTCATGAGACAGAGAGTGTCTTGGGGGTGCCTCTGACTCCTGAATGTTGTGCGGAAAGTTGGCACGGTGTAGTTGTTAAGAGTGTCGGGATAGGATTCGGGAGGCCCAGGTTCGAATCCTCACTCTGCCTTGGAAACTCACTTGGTGACCTTGGGCCAGTCGTGCGTTTTTAGCCTGACCTACATCACAGGGTTGTTGTGAGGGTAAAGCAGAGGAGAGGAGGAGGATGTACGCCGCTTTGGGTCCCACTGGGGAGAACCCCGGGTTGTCGATGAAGTAAGTCAGGGCAGACTGAGAGTCCCGGAGTTCTTCTACAGGAAGACGCACTCTCTTTTCTCCTTCTTTCCCTGCAAAGGAGACCTCACGGCGGATCGAACAGCAGCTCCGTTCCGGCCTCTGAGCAGAACGTTATTCCATGACGGGGAGTCACTTTAGTCACATCTCTGCCTACCCTGCCACGGGGGTTCTTCTTCAGGAAACTGGCTGCGACCCTCTTCAATACACGGCAGGCCTCCCCCTCGGAGCGCACAACATCCCGGGCAGGTTTCCACGTCAAAAAGCTTCTCACTGACGCGCGAGGACCCGTTTCAACTCGAGATCCCAAACGCCCTCTCTCCAAAACGTGGCCTCTTACTCTTTGCAGATATCAACCTGCGGGCTGGGCTTTGCTTTGGCGACAGCCGCTCTCTCCCGGCTGTGGTTTCGCGGCTTCCGGGGCATCCGACAGCACAGGACGGACCGGATGAGCCGCAGAACGGGGGGCCGGAGGATGGTGAAGACCCAGGGGTCGATGATGGAGTTGATGGACAGGAAGCGCAAGGCCCGGAGGTCCTCTTTGTAATCCCCGTCGCCGGTGAACCTGTTCAGGAAGACCCGGATCTGGAAAGGGTAAAAAATAAATAAAAATAAATCATCACATTTATTTATTTACTCATTAAACCATTCATAACCCGCCTTTCCTCAATGTCAAGGTGACTTAAAAGACAGCAAGTTTGGTGTAGTGGTTAAATGCATGGACTCTAATCTGGGAGAACCGGGTTTGATTCCCCACTCCTCCACATGCAGCTGCTGGTGTGACCTTGGGTCAGTCACAAGTTCTCTCGGAGCTGTTCTCTCATGAGCAGTCCTCGAAAGAGTTCTCTCAGCCCCACCTACCCCACAGGCAGTGTTCCCTCTAAGCTGAGTTAGTGTGAGCTAGCTTACAGGTTTTTAGCCTCCGGCTCACACATTTTTGTCTTAGCTCAGGAAGGAAGGCTCCAGAGCAAACTAATTTATGCAGTAGCCAAATCGCTTGCTCACAACTTTAATGCCAGTAGCTCACGAAGTATAATTTTTGCTCACAAGATTCCACAGCTTAGAGGGAGCATTGCTCACAGGGTGTCTGTTGTGGGGAGAGGAAGGGAAAGAAGATTGTAAGCCGCTCTGAGACTCCTTCGGGTAGTGAAGGGCGGGGTATAAATCCAATCGCCTCTTCTACTTAAAACAATAGTTATTCATGCTGTGTATTTTGGTACAAGGACCCTGCTGGTGGGCCAAGTACAATGATATTTATTTGTTTCAGGATTCCCCAACTTTTTCGAAACTGGAGGCACCTCTGGAATTCTGACAGAACATGGTGGGCACACCCACAAAATGGCTGCCGCAGAAGGTGGAGCCAATGACAAAATGGCTGCCATGGGAGGTGGAACCAACCACAAAATGTCTAAGCGTGAGATCATGCTTAACTCCAATAGTAACTTTATAATGTTTCAGGCAGAAACTCTGTTTAACAGGACACTTTAAAAAATGATGGTATTGTTTAGACGTTTTCTTGCATACACACACCTTCAGTGCAGGACTGAAAGTTAAGGTCTTTGTGCTGTGGTGGAAGCAGCTGCTGAAACAACTCTTTAAAAATCCGCAGAGGCAATCAGAAGCCCTGCTGGGCAAAAGCTGCACCAGGACTCTAATCTGGGAGAACCGGGTTTAATTCCCACTCCTTCACTTGCAGCTGCTGGGTGACCTTGGGTCAGTCACAAGTTCTCTCTGAGCTCTTCTCTCAAGGGCAGTTCTCGAGAGAGCTCTCTCAGCCCCATCTACCTGGTGTCTGTTGTGGGGAAGAGAAGGGGAAGGGAAAGGAGTACGTAAGCCGCTCTGAGACTCCGAGTGAAGGGTGGGGTATAAATCCAATCTCTTCTTCAGGCCCCACCCACCCACTCTCTTTCTTTTTTGAAAAGATTTTTTTTTTTCCATATCAACAAAAGAGATATAACACATACACATAAAATGGGGTTTAGATCAGGGGTCATTTCATAGAAAAGGAAGTGCAGGAGCTCATTAGCATAACTCATTAGCATAACTCATTTGCATATGCCACGCCCCCTGACATCACTGGAAGTGTGTCAGAAGGTAACATCCACTGCTCAGGCTCCACTTGGTCTTAAAGGCGCCACTGGACTGTTGTGGATTGCTAGCTATGGGGGGGGGGGACATGCAGATCTGCCCTCACAGAGGAGGGAGAGCTTGTACCTGAAGGCAGGCCGGGAGTGGGGGGGTTCTGCTACTTGCCTGACTGCTTCTTGCTCCTCGTGGCCCGACTGAGGGCTGCTGGGAGCAGGGGGCGGGGCTTATTGCATGTGCCCGCCCCCTGGGCTCCTTACTGCCAGCTCCGCTCCTGTGCGCTCCTGCCGGAAATGACCCCTGGTTTAGATATACTTATCTATATTATCTAAGTGTCACCTCCTGCAACGCTTACTAGAATCATTATCACCAAATTGTTTTGCATAAGTGTTTTGCATATTAATACGAAAATCTGATCTATGCTATCTCCAAGGTGTTCATATGCCTATATTATTTATTTAGAATAGTCTTCCAACCATTTATAAAATCTTGACCATGTATTTTGGAATCTTCCCTCTTCTTGTCCTCTCAAAGTTAAAGCCAATTTGTCCGTCTCTGCTGTTTCAGGCCCTACCCACTTTCTCAAAACATCTGGCTGGTGCCAGGAAAGAATCCCACGGGCACCCCATTGGAGACCCCAGTTTTAGTTAATGGAATCTGTATCTGGTCTTTCTACTGGCATGAGCGGTCAAAGGGGATCCCCAGTCACCAGGGATGCAAATATCCGGGCTTAATCCCGGCTCGTTCCGTGGCACCGACTTCTTACGAAGGCAACAAACCCAGCATTTGCTGAAGACTTGAGTCATCTCCCGCGACTGCAAACCAAGCCCTGGATTCGCGGCACGACTGTTGTTCAACAACAGCTGCAGAGAGCTGCTCTAGAAGTCCATTTGGAGGAACGGGTGGCGGCGGTGGCGGCGGGCGG